CCTTCTTAGCACTTAAAATACATTTCAGCGACACAAAACTCCCAAAAGTCTGATATCTTGCCCGTGGTATCGTGGTACGATCGGCGAGTACCTAAACCTTCCTACGCAATGTCCATGGCTATGCGAAGTCTAAGGTTGGCCTACATAAGCCTTGGGTTGGCCTGTTTATCCTGTTTCATATCGTATCTATGATAATAAAGTGTTCACGATCGCATAGCCAAACTGAGAACAAAATATTTATTTGCAAAACTCCAGCAATACCCCTCGCTTGATACTATAAAAAATATTGCACACGATCATGCGAAGCCGTGAATCCTACCGCCTTTATTTAGCGCCGGCGTTCCCGCGTTAATAATTTCTCCTGAATCGGAGGACCAATAATCAGCTGACGCACCGTTGTTTTGATGTCGGCGGACCGTGCCAGCCTGGCTGGGGCTTGGCTGCGGCGACGCCGACGGCGACGTTTTGCAAAAATGTCAGTTTGTTTTGTCTGCGAGCAGTTTGCACGTGATTTATGCACAGCAACCTCATATTTAAAACACAAAATTAACATGGCGTTTTCCGGAAAATTGTTTTAAATACATTATTTCGGTTGAACAACCGAGTAGACACGAATTCATTCTGCCCAAAATTGTGAAACAAGCTTTGAAAATCTATTCACTATTTGAAAGGAGATTTTTATTCATGATGATTTTTTCAAGGATGTGTGTAGGTAGATCGTTGGGTTAAAACCGTTCATTTATCTCGTACCCTGTGAACCCTTATCATGTGTCATGGTTTGAGATATAATGTACAATTTATAGGGGTATTATCAACTTCAATGGAAATATATGTACAGATTCTACTTTGCGGTCGCGCTCATCATTTATTTTCATGAGCGTCAAGCTGGGAGTGTCTCGCTGTATAACGTGTCGTGATTTCGTCACTTTTTGATTATGCTAAACGGCCCTACCGTCCATGAAAAGACGTCTCCGCGTGCGGTATTGTCGGCATGTCTCTGCCTAGTGCCTAGAGAGACTGTCGCATCTCTGAAGTTGTAATATGATTAATGTTGGTAATCGCATTTGTCGCTACTGCTGAATACCAGGAGGGTTTTAACGCCACAGAGCACAAGGGTGACCAGACGCCTGGATAGCGATGGTTTCCATTTTGCGCGCTTACATTAGATGTTTGATAGTGTATGTGATAGCCACTCATAAATATGCCGCAATGTTTGATGTTTGGAAGACGTAAACATATTTCAAATTTTCAAGGTGACCTCTGCAAGCATTGTAATGCCACTAGGCATTAAAAACGAGTAATTTAGCTTGATTGTGGAATAGATCTGCCGGAGACCATATCCTATTACGATCGGCCAAATGTTCCCGGTAAGTTAAAACTGGTTTAGCAGGGCTATTATGAGCTGTTTTAGTAGCTCAGTCAGAACAGTGACAGGTTTGTAGACTAAACTTACAGGGTTTGCGACACTTCAGATGGTGCAAAACAGGTTTGGTGGAGCGTCTCACTCTCAAATAATATCCTTTTTAGGATAGCCCGATACTCCGAACATTTGAAGGGTATGTCCTTTTTGATGCATTTCTTACAAAAAAGATATGCATAAACATGAACCAACGCTTGTTGCATGCTTGTTATTCCTTTAATCATAACACGATAGTTAGCTAGCATTTCATCGCTCAAGAATATGCTTGCTTCTTTACGAATTAAAGGAAGGGTGCCACCTTCCGAAATTTTTGTTCTATGAATCTATTTTACTTATTTGAATTTTTAGACGTGGTTAGCGCGTCCACAATATACAAAAAACCGAAACGTTGCATTTAATACATTGGCCAAAAAAAAAGATCGTTGTTTATATCACCACTACAACTCAAGGTCGTTTGATGTGGCAGCTAGGACGGCTGGCATATCCTGTTGTCATGGCAACATATCATTCTGCCATTTGCATTGATGGCGCAACTGAGACAAAAAGATGAACAAATAAAAAGGAAGAAGATAACATGATTTGAACTAAGTTGTAGGTAACCAAGTAGGTAACTGTTGGCCATATTTGCCAACAGTTAAAGAACATCAAATAAGTCGAGTAAAGGTTTTTCCTTTACAATGCTTAAGAGATCTATGGAACCCTTCACCCTTCATGCAACTTACTAGAAAAACTTCCCAATTAAAATTTTAAAACTTAAGTGTATACCATAAAGAAAAAATATACCCTTTCAAAATGATAAAACATGCTTCAAAAGTATAACTTTTATACATACCTTTGCTGATTTCATGTTTTATAAAATACCCTTAACACGACGAGGAAATAGTGCTGAAGATTTTTGCCTGCCCGAATGCTGGCAGCAAAACTCGCAAATGATAACTTCACGTGCGGATTCAATGCTGACCGTCTCGAGCATAGGTAAGTGAAGCCGGTTTTTAGGTTCATGTGAGGCTAATCTTGTAAAAACTGCGTTGTGTCCAAAAGGTGGCACCCTTCCTTTAAGCACAAACAAACATAAATCGTTTCACGGCCGTTTGAGTGAGGATATGGGTCAAACCCGGGAGAGTTCTTTCAGTTTTACGTCGTAGCATTGATTGAGTCAGCCAGCAGCTCAACTTAAGTGATTTATCTAAATAAAAATACTGCAGCAACGCTGCAGGATGTTGACTGGTTATTGAATATTTTTGTCAATCTCAAGGATGCGTCCTTTTTAAAGCAGAGATGGACAGAACATCTGCTATTCTATCCTTTTTATAATTCCAATTTTGGTTACTCTCTCTCTCTCTCTCTCTCTCTCTCTCTCTCTCTCTCTCTCTCTCTCTCTCTCTCTCTCTCTCTCTCTCTCTCTCTCTCTCTCTCTTTTTTTTCTCTCTTTTTCTCTCTGCCTTTTTCTGCCTTACTTTTAGAACACTCCATAAGCATTTCCTCCATCCTTCTTCTCTCTTTTCCTTTTCCTCCCTCTATTTATCCCCCTTCCTCTCATATAAACCCTGGTTCACAGTTCACATGAACCTCTGCATCCTCCCCGCTACCCCTCTCCGCCCCTCTCCCCGGGTACTGTCCCATTTGCGTCGTTGGCCGGCCGCTGCACCGTGGGGACTTTTGCGATCCTAGCACGACATAAGTGGCAAATACGATTATTTTGATTTCCACTTTCTTTATATGCTTTCTATGCAGAATTGTCCAGTGTATCCGAATCCGACCTTAAATCGCTTTAAAGATGATGACTTATACATCAAAATACGTCACAAAGTGAAGAGTTGCGCTGACTAGCACCGTGCTCCTAGGATAAGGCGAAAAAATACTTGACAACGGAACGCATGCTCACTCGTTTAATCAAGCACCAATTCGACGTTGCGACATGTTTTTATAATCTGTATTTAATGAGGAATACGAGCATATGCATAAAAAGTTCGAAAAACAATCCAAAGGTATGATTTTTGAATGAAATACAAAACATGTTTCTATGCCACTTGTCTCGGAGATTTGACTCGGCAAATCATAGCCTTACAAAGTGAGTTACGCGGTGTTACGTGTGGAAACACATATCAAAATATTCTCCCAAAAATTCTGCATTGGAATCAACTCTTATCTTTTGCCCAATTTTGCCCAAACAGCTACTACGAGACATCAAAGCAGATGATGTCGTGTGGCTCCCAGCGCTCTGCCGCGCTGCCCGGCGCCGCGGCGGTCAGCTGACTGCGGTGTACCGCCGCAGGGGTTACGTGTGGAAACACATATCAAAATATTCTCCCATAAATTCTGCATTGGAATCAACTCTTATCTTTTGCCCAATTTTGCCCAAACAGCTACTACGAGACATCAAAGCAGAAGATGTCGCGTGGCTTCCAGCGCTCCGCCGCGCTGCCCGGCGCCGCGGCGGTCAGCTGACTGCGGCGCACCGCCGCAGGAGTAAAGTCGTGCTGGGAGGGGCGAAGTCCCCACAGTGCGCTGACGGCGTCAGCCTTGGTGGCTGCTTACCCGGAGCTTCTGCAGCGCCCGGCTACCCCCTCCTCCCAGCGTACAGCTGCCCCAGCGTCCAGGTACCCCCTCCCCCACCCCCGACAGCCAGCGGGGGAGCTGATGGGTGGCCGGATGGTCGGAAGGTCGGGGTGGACGAGCCTGAGTTTCGGAGGTCTGGACGGACGGACGGACATGCATACATACATACAAACTGACTGGCGAGCGGACATATGAACGGAAGGGAAGGAAGCACGGACGGGCAAATGGACAAATGGACGGGAGGACGGACGGACGGGATGGGACGGACGTATGGACGGACCAATGGACGGACCGACGGACTGTCGGACGGACGCTAGGACCCTAGGACGGGCCGATGGAGGGCCGGGCAGACGTGCATAAGACGGACAGACTGGAGCACGGGACGGAGTTTCGAAGGTCCGGACAGACGGACGGATGAACGGATGCACGGGACTCAGTTTCGAAGGTCCGGAGGTTCGGCAGATCGGTAGGGCGACCGGATGGACGGGTCGGAGGACGGGTTGGAAGTCGGCTTGTTTCCGCCTGTGCCGGGCTCAAGGTCGACGTAGCATCGAGCTGCATTCCGAGCGAGTTTTGACGTGGATGCAAAGTATGGTGGAGGGTGGCTACTTTGCTCGCACGATCGGGTTTTTCAAGTGCGAGCGAGACAGTGTGAGGACTTCGGTTTGATAGTGTGAGATGAATACTTTTACTGAAGTGATGCTACTGGGATTTGGCGTATGTTGTAGTAAGCTTGTAGTCACTCTTGAGATGCTGAATAAAATGGCGATAATAAAGCAAGCTATGTTTAGTAGATATTTTGATACCGTCAAGCATTATGTTCAAAACATTCCAGAGTTACTTTATGTACAAAAATCGTGCGTGAATACCGCTTGATTGATAGTAGTCATTCGATGTATCCATCTATTAATCCGCCGCACAAGGTTGAGCACATGTAACCTCGATCACGCGCATGCCTGGCCTCACAACCACGCGCTTCCTTCTCTCCAAGTCCTCCAACATCCCGCTCCCGCGTACTCACCGATGACGCTGAAGGTGTTGTCCAGCTGGATCGGAGGCAGGACGAGGTGGGAGCAGCCGCACGTGCTGGCCTCCTCCACGGGAGACCAGCTCTCCGTGTAGCAGATCAGAGTCTGGCCGTCGGCGGGACCGGCGCATCCTGTGGAGAGGCACAAGGATTCTGAAAACGACGTCATGAAATCACTTACTAAATTGTGATAAATCATGTGATACTTTGTCTTTGTGTTGGGTTTCTGGAAAGCTATGAGCATCGTACCAAACGTAAAGCTTATAAGGTCGTGATGGTGTGTCTTTCACTCTGATATAAAAAGCAGATGAATCTTCACCAAGTAATGTGTAAACTTAGTTGGGTTTAAATACGGCCTTGACATGGTGAACCAACGAAAACAAATGATGCGTCCTATGTTATACTCAGCGACATCCACTACAATGTCCATCTTGCATAGTAATATCGTAGACCATGACATTGTAATGCAAATTAGAAACATTCTGTTACTGAGTTCACAAATAAAACGTGAGTGCATAACATCAATTCATTCTCCCAATGCTTCAAACAGCGTTTTGAAGGCCGATTATTGTTATTGACTTAATGTGAACACTGAGCAGTGATTTAGGTTTGAGACTTACCTTGTGAATAAGCCGGACCGGGTGAGATGGCCAGAAATAAGATTGTGAGCATGGCTCCCCACATTGTATTATCTGAAAAACGGGCAATGCGGAACGCGGTCACTCGGTGATAAAGATCAATTCGGGATACTCTTATGACATTTCAAGATAACGTGAATTTAGCGCATTTTGTCCATATAGAAAATGGATTGCATGCCACTTATTTTCATTTACAATGTACCTATCTTAAACAACTTTCTCAAAATGCAAATATTGTCCCGTTGACCACTTAGTTCCAGCTTAATTTCACGATGCTTTAGGGCTGGAGCTTTTTGTACTTACGTGGGGGCATGGCGCAATTGAAGAGAACCCAGAGGTGCCCTCAGTCGAGTTGTTATCTGGTCTCAGCAGATAAAAGGTAACTGAAAAAAGAAAATTTAGGTCGTTAGTTTTATTTTAAAAATACTTGAATTATGGTACAGAGAAGCTAAGTTTAAAATAATGTAGCTAAGAAGATCCATGTCATTTCCATATAAAGCTACAGTGCTCAGGTCGTCAACATGGTATGCTTCCAACCGGCATCTTTCAAAATACATTTTGAAATAAAAGGTCATGCCATTCAGCGACATGCTAAAAAGGACACATTGTCGCGAGAATGCTTTCATAAGATGTCAATGATGATGGCGTTTAGCCAACCAGTATCACTTAAGACCAGTAAACAATGCTGACAGACGAAACCCAAACGCTTCAGTCAGTGGTGTCAATACTCCATTGTGTCTCCATCAGCGCTTGTCGTGTCAAACTAAACTGCCGTTTTTACGCAAGATTCAGTCCACTCAACGTGGCGTGTTTGGTATCATCTAGCTCCCTACCTGACAGCATGTAATCTTCATATTAAAACGGTTAGGATGATGTGGTGCTGGAAGGTTTGAACAGCTTTTATGCCAAGGACGCATAATAGATGACCGGAATTTCTTGTGTGGTCAGTATCTGAGCAAGAAGTAAGAAAGGCTACGGTCGTATTGCGCTAGTATTTTGGAGCTCCAAAATACTAGCGCAATACGGTGTTATTGCGCTAGTATTTTACCCTTTACCATAAAATACATATGCACTGTGCTCATAATTGAAAATTCTCACAAAAATTTGATTAAAAAATATGACGGCATTTGAAAGACACTCACAGCTTGCGAACCTTTAAAAAACTGTTCGGATTCCTTTGCGGGTTTAAATGTTTTGCAGGCTGTTTTCCAAATGTTTCCCTAATAAATGTTTTCCAGGACACCCTTGCAGAGTCAACTCACATATCAGTCGCTCTGCCCGCGTTTGAGAGCGAGAGTGAATATCATTTCCTCCAAGCCAATCCGAGAGTAAAACATCCTTCCCATTCCGAGCCGGTTTGACCGGAGACTATATCCACTCCCCATCCGGCCCTGCGATGGTTCGGACACGACCACTCTCACCTTCCGTGGCGATCTCTGTGACCTCTCCACCAGCCGGGGGCCGGATCAACTCCCTCACTCCCAGCTCTGCACTCCTCGACTCTCCTCGGGATCAGAAGATGTGAGGGTTGACACTCCAAACTTGAAATATGTTGATTCCAGTCCGCACTCGTGATTCTTTGCACGCCAGGTTCAGGCGAATGTCTTCAGAATCTGACACCACTTGAATTGTTTGTAAGTGTGCCCCGAATATCGAATGGATGCGTCTCGGGCGAAACCGAATTCTTGAAGTCACTCCAAGGCACGCTTATGTGCCTTTGACTGCCAGCGAGCTCCGACTGTGTGGCTTGCTACAGCTCGCGGTGGCCGCTCCGCAGAGGACCGGTCACCACTGTCCCTCTCTGGGAGCTGCAGCCGACAGCCACCCTCCGATTCCTGCAGCGGGCTTCATTCAGCCCCAGCGGCTCCCTCCGGAGGGGAGGGGTGCCGTGCTGCTGCCGGCGGCGGCGGCGGCGGTGGCGGTGCCAGGGTCGCGCGCGGCCAAACTGGGGACCCGTCGGACGGGTCCGCTCCGGGGTGCAGCCTCTGATGGGTGCTCTGGCGGGTGCTCCAGGGTGCAGCCTCTGATGGGTGCTCTGGCGACCACAGCTGGATTATTCCGAAGACGTGAGGCGAGTCCACGCCACAGCACAGCAGGCAGCATGCTGATCAGCGAGGTGGACGTGGTGGGCGGCGGCGTGGCGTTAGAACAATACCTCTGCTGTCCGCCCCGCGTCTACACTGCCCCTCAGCTGCTACCTCGGGACCAGAGAGGACCACAAGACCACCCGGACCGACCGGGGACCGACTCAGGACCACCCTCAGACCGTCCACGGTCTAATCGGTCAGAAGACGGAGGTCATAAAATGTCACCGGACCTGGCTGGCTCGCCCCGGGTTTACGTAAGCGGGCAGCGTCACGCGTTCATTGCTCTATCCATATTTGAGATAACACTCATGGCAGATGGGGGCTTAATCGCCAGCGATCTGCCGTGAATTTCCGCTCTCAGGCTTATTGACCAGTTTTTCGAGACTCGTGGCTCCGAGAGCATTGACATTGACGCTGGAATCGATAAGCGGTCAAAGATTGCGCATGTTTTTATTGGAATGGTAATTTTTTTCTGTGGGAAGTTTTTTCTTTGGTAGGAGACATACAAAGATAAGTTAATTGTTGGTAAATCAGAGGTCCGACGAGAACTTAAAGATGCATCGAAACGGGTTTGTATAAGACAACACTTGTGATTCGCTACATAGAAAAAGACTACCAACAAAAACTCTGCAATTTATCGTTCATCTTAGGCTCAGAGTTTCGTAACTTCGGTTGGTATCAGACCGTCCAGGAGTTCCTTTTTACTTAAATGACCGGCAAAGTCCCCTTATTGCTAATTGTTTTGTTTTAAAAGGGACAGATAAGCCTAATCGAACAGCTAAGTGGATACGGTAACGAGGCAGTATGCCAGAATAAGCAGCACAACGAAATAGGCAGTATTTGATAGGCATTATGCCAGAATAAGCAGCGCAATTCCTATGGAATTGATATAGCTGTTGCAAAACATTTCCGCTGCACATTTATAAAATCATCAGCCCTCTGCTTTATCTAAACTAAATCACCAATAAAAATGTGATAATCCAGTCCGCGAACCCTATAACCCGTAGTTTAACTATCATAACCCTCGTGTTGCGTGGCGTATTTAGTGTGCATTATAACGCCCTCCGGCAGTTGCTGCGATCTTCTGACCTTGTGGCTGGATTTCGGTCGAAACATCCCTCTCCTGGGCAGTTCCTGCCTCGATCCTTGACCCAATGAATTGGCGGAGTCAATGCATGAATTCACTGTGTAAAGATTAATACACCATCGTAGAATAGGTGCCTCTCGTGCTTTCATAGCGTGTAAATGCGTCATTCCATTAAATTACCAGCAAGAACAGGAAGCATGCAAGATGGTAAGTATATACTGGAATGGAAGCAGCTGTTAAATTATACATGCCACCGACTTGAACAAGTGATGTTGGCTGGCCTTCGCTAAGCTCTAATCGATTGGGTTGAACGATGTTTTGGGGTGGAGCTTCCTAACCTGTCCCATAAAACATGAGGGCTATCGAGAATCAACTTACCTTTAAATACTCGTAAAGGCGTGCATTTTATGTCTGAGCTAAAAAGAATTGTGATTTAAAAGAACGAATTTGATTAACAGGGCAGGTTTATATTCGTAGGCTATCCTCAATTCCGATAACTCCGCTGCCTCATCAAAAAGCTCAGCTTCAACAAGATAAATGCATGACCGGCAATAATTGGTGTTTACGTAAATCTTTGAGCATCTGAATCGTGGATTGGAAGCTTAAAGACGGTCAAGACATTTGTCACAGGATAAACTATCATTTGTTTAGTTTGCCGTCATGGCTAATTAGGTAAGCGATGACATACTGAATGAGCTAGGATACTCATTAGAATTAAGTGCACCGGTTGTGATGAGTGAAATACGATGACTTGCTATTCTGGGAATGCACTTTTGAAGTATGAAGCCAGCTTAACTGTCATGGCGGATTGGATCATATGTCCAGTACTAGGTATACCTAGGATGCGTCTCTCGAAACCTAAAGTGGCTGCATAATTTGACAGAATTCAAATTCACTCTTTAATTTTGCCGCACTCATTGCAAATGTGTTATGAAATTTAGGCAATACTTTGAATTCGTCTAAATGCATTTCCAAGTGAATCCAGATTGCAAAGGAAATTTGTATTCCATCAGCATAAGGCTGATTTGAATTATACGGAGGCTCTGATTATATCCATAGGCGCGTTGACGTAAGATGTGTTGAGCTCAATACTCATCTTTGAAACATTTGGAATATTCCATTAAGTCAATCAGTGCCTAACATTTGACATTGAGGACTCACTAGCCACGTAGTGAGGGTATACTGCTGCAACGATGTTATAACCAACACCATTGAGTTGGAAATGAAAAATTGGCCATAAAACATGCATCACACAACCTTAGTAAAGTTGGGCTCATGTGACCTGACCTGTGACCCTTGGTGACCTGACCTGTGACCTGACCTGGTATTGTCAGTGATCTCTAATAGCAACATATCTACTAGACAACTGACGCCCTATCGCTGATTCTGGACAAAATGCGTTTTCCTCGGTGTTATAGCGCATTCCCTAGAAGACCCGTGACCGGTGAAACATTTCATCTTTGACCTGACCTGTGACGTCATCGGTGACCCCGAGGTCAATGAAATTTGATTTCCTTCGACAAATTTGACAGACCTTTCGAACGCCGTTTGAATTTTGCGGATCCGTCCAGTAGTTTCGGAGATACGAGGGGGGGGCAAAAAATAGCCCCCCCCCCCCACCAGGTCGCGTTATAAACAGACCCCACCAGGGCGCGGGTTAAGATAGTTTCCAGATCCAATCATCCAGATAACACACATAAAGATAACTCGATTTGTGCTCATGTGAAGCTCAAGATCTTATTCAAGATGACTGATGAATATAAAATTTATGGGATGAATATGAATATTTGATGCATTTTGTCCTTCAACGATTTTTGTAACATGCTATTCCGGCAATAATTGGTATCACGGAAATACCTAAGTGAGGATCTGAATCCTGGATTGGAGGCCTAAAGACGGTCAAGATATTTGTCATAGGATAACCTACCATTTGTTTAGTTTACCGTCATGTCTAAGTGGTGCACAGAGAAAACTCAGAAACCACTTACGCTCCAACATCTTTTCGGTTATCCCTAAGGAAAGTATGTGATTCCTTTTCTCTGAGCTTAAATGCGAAATGTCATGATTATCAAGCACCAGCAGAAAGCTCAATCACGTTGTTCACTATCTGCAAACTTTTGCGCAGGTCACGTGCTTCATCCATTGAACTTCGCCCTCCGTTTCTCTCATCAATAACTTGCTGCCCCGTTCGGTACGCGGCATTGCCTCATAACGGGCGTCTTCGAGCTTAGCTGCAAGGCTGGCTTGTCGGCACAGCTAGCGGTCGACTAGCACAGGCTAAGTCGACAGGGGTGTATGACAGGGAGGGGGCGTCGACAGCCGACCAACCCCCTGTCGGTGCACTGTCGTCTGGCTCAACGGGGAGCGGTGATCTGGTGTTGCGTCATGAAACTCTTGCACGTTCCGTAGCTGGAGATATTGTGATGTAAAGCTGCGCAGAAGGATGACACTGACGACAAAGATGATGATTATGAAAAGGATGAGGACGATGTTGATGTTGATTATGCACGATGAAGGTGTAATGATGTTGATTATTCATTTAATTATCGAAGAAGCGGTTCATATAAGTGCGTGTGGGAATTCGTGGATTTTTATGCGCTGAATTTACTGCCGTAACAGCATACAGTACGCCCGACAAGCATGTTGTTTTGTTTATGGTTGATATGTTCGAGAATCGCGTTTGTGCGTGCATTACTGCGGTGTTTGCTAGTCGTTTGGCTGTGCCGGAATGCTGCCACATAGTCTAGAGGCTCGGAGACTCCCGAAACGATTGTCCGATTCGTATCTCATTGTATGACACGATTTATCTTGGGATTAGACCTGAAAACTGCTGTCATCCTAGTCAGTAGGTGTGTGCTGACAGATAAGCGGTAGTTTGGATTTAGTGGCCGAAAAATTTCAAACGGCGATGCGTAAAAATATCAAAGCGTCCTTGTCAACGAGGAAAAATTTCATCCAGCAGTCACGAACTGCCATGCATTTGTTGGTAATCTCTGGTACCGATCTCCGGCAAATATTTATCAGGGTGGGCAGAAGATTTTCCAAACGATATGACGCTGAAGGGTGACACTTATCTTATGTGGTGACATTTGAATTTGATAGTGTTCTGATTGATACTGGTTGATATCCCACGCAGCTATCATATGAGATGAGCCAGTGTAATGAAGGTCATATAATCCGTAAGCGATTGTTGAGAACGATCCACCAGTCATTACTTCGCGGAGATTTGAATCTCGCGTTAGCTTTTGAGAGCTCGTGAATCAACGTGAATGATAGTTTCTATTAAAGTTTAAGTGATATAAGAATATCGATTTTTTCCATTTTACCTAGTCGATCATTTTATCAATCGCTACATAATACGGCTATTAGCAATAAAAATTATGCGATCACCAGTACTCAGTAGCATACCGTAGAGAAATTCTTTGCTGCACCATCCGCAATCCATCACCTCCCCTCCCCTCTTCCCTCCCTCACACCTCTCCCTGACATCCAACGGCACGTGACAGAGTTCACGTGACCTCCCCAACTCCGGCCGGGGGGGGGGGGGGGGTCGGCGGCATCCTCTCTCGGCCTCTAATCCGGAGACGTGCCGCCTCGCGCCGGGCCGCACCGACAAGTGGCTAACCTTCGGCAGACGA